TATTTTCTGAAGAAGAGGAAGGACAACCACCGACCAAGGATCAAGTTCAAAAAGGTCCGAAAGTCTCAGCAGTGCAGCTACGACGCTCGACGCCATCACCACTGTCCTCTCGTCCTCTAACCCGCAGCTTCAAGCGGTCTACTCAACTCTCAATGGAACCCGGATTAGTCTATACTTTGAAATCAAGCTCTCCGTCTCCACCGCATGCTGATCTTGAAACTAATCACGGCGCTGGTCTCTCTACTGATGAAGCCTGAATATGTGATGTGACCTGATCCAAAAATGTTATCTCTCTTTCTCCCTAAGAAGGAGATAAATAAAATTTTTTGGATGTTTTTGCTACTGGTTTTGTCTATCTCTATTTTCTCTCTGTCTCTCTCTCCTACAAAATGAAAAATCCCTACGTATATAAAAAGATCAAAAAGTTTCGTAGCCAAAAAGACAAAAAAAAAATTATATGAATAAAAATAAAATAAAAAGGAATTTTTAAATAAAAAATATATTTTATGGCTACAAAAGGGATAAAAGAAGAAAAGAATTAAGAGGAGAAGTGTCAGTACGAGAAGAAATAAGAGAACAAGTGTCAGAAGAAAGAAGAAGAGATATACCAGTGGAAGTTGCAGTAGAAGTTGCTACTGAGAGTAGACTGCAAATCACAGAGGATTTATCCAGTGTATTGCCGGTACACCATACCGAGTCTACCATGCCTACCATGGACCCTGTTCTAGAAAATGAAGATTTATTTACAGAGAACTACACGAGAACAGAAGTCTTAGAAGAAGAAATTAGTGATCTCAATCAAGAAGCCGAATCACCTGAAGAAGAAGGGATGCAACTTATTGATACAGTTTTTCTCACAGATCCGAGTAGAAGTCCGTTCGGATCTCCTCAAAACTTTGTGCAGATGAATGAACAAGAAGATGACATATTTTCATCCTTATTTGCCAAAGTAGCCGAATCCAGTGATGTTGTTTGTCAAACAATTGGAGAAAAATTGGTTGAACAAAACCAAATGCTAGAACAACAACACACGGATACCCGAGTCAATCTAAAAGAATTAATGGAGCATCAAAATTCTTTGAAGACTCAGATTGACAAAGCAGAAAGAATTCTGAAAGGAGAATTGTCAAAAGGCTTACTTGAAGTGCTTCAGCTCATGAAGAAGGAACGTGAAGCAGCTGAAAAGATCAACAACGAACATCACTTGCGACAAATCAAGGCGATTCAAGATCAAGAAAGCCGAATCAACAAACTTGAAGCTGAACTCGTAGTTACAACAAATAAGCTTGACAACGTGCAAACCGTTTCCATTGATACACACAATAGTGTTGAAACTGTGAAGGCAAACCAAGACCGAGATTTTAAGACCCTTGCATTTTTGGTTGATAACGCCAAAAGGGGGGAAGAAATTCTCAGTCACTTGGCTTTGCAACAAGAATTTATTCTTGGAAGTCAACAACAGCCAGTAATGTCTACTCAAGGTAGAGGCCGAAGCCGCGGACAATCCTCACAAGGACCATCTCAGATTGGTTTTGCTCAGTTCGCGAATCCGAGTCTTGGTACGAGTACATCAAAGGTTGCTGAACAGCGTGGCTGGTTCGAATGCTCTAAGGGTACCGCCACTCAGACAACAATATGGACTAAGGAAAATTTACCAAGCATGATCAAGAAATGGCCTGCAGCCGATCAAGCCCAATGGATCTCGGAGAAGAATAAAGAAGAAGAAGGCAAAAGGAAAAGAACCGAGATGTGGTATGAACTAAGAGATTTCACCGGAAATATGGGCATGAATCTTGGAGAAGAAAGAAGCTTCGAAGAATGTGTCTTATGGTGGGAAAACGGAGTTCTTCCGGGTAACAATATCAAAGAAGCTTTTGGACATTACATGGTCGGACAGCTTACAAAGAAATTTCAGAATGCAAAGTTCAAAGATGATTTCTTCAAGCTCAGGGAACATGTCAAAGAAATTTTGAAGAAAGACTTTGGTGTGAAGAAACCCAGAAGGTAATCTGAAAATTCTCTTAAGCTGATATTCTCTATTTTCGAACCTCTGTTGCGTTTTTTCTCTATAAATTTGAAATATATCAATAATAATTTCCCATGGTCTATTTTGAGTCTTTAATTTTATTGGTTTAATGTAATTAGACTTTCGTGAATTAAAAGACAAGAAATATGTCAAACGCACGACAAAATTAAAAATTGATGATGATCAAAATAAAAATAATTCAAGATGCGTTTAGGAGCTTGTCTAAAAATTAATTCACAATTTTTCTTTTGATTGTGTCTAGAAAACCATTTGTTAAACTCATCTTGGCTTTGTCAAATAAAATTGAGCAAAAAGATTATTTTTCAAAGACTTAAAGCCAATGACTGAGTATAGGTTTTGGCATTATCAAAAGGGGGGAAATTGTTAGGAATAAAGTGTAATGGTTTTGATATGCCAAATTTGTATTTGTAGATCCTCCAATTTTATTTCTTAGGTCTAGTAGAGTCTTAGACCATGATCGGGAAATTATTTAATTATCAAAAGAGAAAAACAAAGGAAAATAGATGAAAATAGAAGAAGAAGATATAAAGCCGAAAATCAAGAATTTGTCTAGAGAAAATGACAAATTGAAGAAGAAGTTGAATGATATGAATTCACGTCGCTACTACTCAAAGAAGATATCCCAGAAGAATTTTCGTGAAGAAAATTAATATTGGAAGAATGCATGAAGTTGACTTAGAGATCAAGCATCTATGGAAAGAAAGAAGTACATCAAATATGATTGGAGATTGAATCAAAAGCTGTACGGACGAAGTGGATGATGTTTGATATATTATCTGAAATGGTTCAAGTTTGAAACTCACCATCTACAATTTTACAAGGTAAAATTTGAGAAGTCAAATTAAATTAATCTGATGGAGTTGGGCGCTAGTTTAAGCTTTGGGCGCCGATTACAAGTGGAAATTGGGAAAATTGGGTGGCAATTGAGATGCAATTGCACTTGGGAGCCGATTTCATAGAAATTGAAATTGGGAGCTAGTTTCGAAGCAATTGAAATTGGGAGCCAGTTTCAGAGAAATTGAGATTAATTGAAATTAATTGAAATTGGGAGCTAGTTCAGAGAAATTGAAATTGGGAGCAAGTTTCAAATGGAAATTCAGATTGGGGACCAATTAAAAGAAGACATTGAGGAGCAATTGAATTGAGATGAAATTCAAAGAGAAGTCCAATTTCGAAGTCAACATTGAGAAGTAATTGGAGCACCAGGAGATGTTGGGAGCCAATTGCAAGTCAAAGTCAATTGGGAGCCAATTACAATGGAGAAATTCAAATTGGGTGCCAATTACAAGCCAATTGAAATTGGGTGTCAATTGGGAGCCAATTACAATGGAGAAATTCAAATTGGGTGCCAATTACAAGCCAATTGAAATTGGGTGTCAATTACAAAGGAGAAATTCAAATTGGGTGGAAGTTCAAGCCAATTGCAAGTCAAAGTCAATTGGGAGCCAATTACAATGGAGAAATTCAAATTGGGTGCCAATTACAAGCCAATTGAAATTGGGTGTCAATTACAAAGGAGAAATTCAAATTGGGTGGAAGTTCAAAGCCAGTTTGAAGTCTGAGAACACCCAGACGTGAGAATGAAGAAGATGAAGCAGAACTTACAGTGAAAAATATTCTCACAAGGAAAATACTAGTCTAACTAGTATGGGATTAAAATAAAGATTATTTTTGAATCCCAAAGATACAAGGACCACTTCAGAGCTAATCAGAGAAGCCATTCTACACCAAAACTGAGACCCAGATATTTCCACTCAACGTTAAAACAGGGGAATATCAGATGAAATTTGGGAGCTCATTTACATGGAAATGAAGATCTTTCAAACAGCTAGCTTATCTCTTTCTGACATTTTTGCAGAAGATAAGATAAGATCTCTGACATGGGAGCATCTCTTTCCAACGGACAGATTCTCATTACCAACTATAAAATGATGAAGATATGAAGACTTGAAGGTGTGAAGAGCAGTAGAGCAGATCACGAACTCACGAACAAGAGAGCAGAAAATTCGAATCCATCAAAGGATCGAATAGAGCAATTAAGCTTAAAAGAGCAGAGAGCTAAAATTCTAAGAGCTAAAATCTTCAAGTGTGAGAAAAAGAACTCAGAGAGCTTCAAGAGAAAAATATTTAGAGAGTTCTTAAGCAGAGCAAAAATATCAAGTACTTTACTTGATATATTCAAAGAGAGAAAACACTCAGAGCTGTCAAGAGAAATCATTCCAGAGTGTTTATCTTCATCAAAGAGACCTGCGCATCATTGAAGATCATCTACAGAGTCTCAGAAGTTGGAAGCAAGACAACACTTGTTTTGGAGCAAAACAAGAGAAGGGAGGAAAGTAACACGGAGCTGTGAAATCCTGGATTGTCACACGGAGCTGTGAGATCCGAAGCAGCAGTGTCGGAGGCACTGGGCGTGATTGGTGTGGGCTTGGTGATCAAAGCACCAGATCACGGATACGTTTCTACCGGAGTGTGGAAGACGGGGGGAAATTAACGCGGAGTTGTGAAATCCTGGGATAGTAGCGCGGCGACGTGAAACCCGAAGCAGCAGTGTGGTGTCACTGGGCGTGATTAGTGCGGGCTTTGTGATCAAAGCACTAGATCACGGAAATTCATTGTATCTTGGAACCAAGGAGTGGTAGATATAGTGAATTGGCTCTTGGAGAAAAGAGCAAGTGGAGTAGGAGGATTACACCACCTCGCGAACCACTATAATTGTCTTGTGTTCTTTACTGCTTTCTTTACATACCGCTCTTTACATATACGCTCTCACGAAGATATACTACTCACACAATCTCACACACACTTTATGTTTATTTATTTCCGCTGTGCACCATACTCTAACAATCTAGTTAAGAGTTTTGGTTTATCTCTGTCTTAGCAATTGTTGTGCTGTGCGAAAAAGTTTGAAAGTCTATTCAACCCCCCCCCCCCCCCCCTCTAGACTTTCACCTTACCTCTTTTGGGACCAACATAACGCCTTGTACTCGGCTTCGGTAGAGGAGCGGGCCATAGTGCGTTGCTTCCTGGAAAGCCAAGAAATGAGATTGGATCCAAGGTAGACAGCATACCCACTAGTACTTTTTCGGTCGACTTGACATCCGGCCCAATCAGAGTCTGAAAAAGCATGTATCTCGGTAGAAGGTGACGCTTGAAGCCGTAGACCATAGTCAAGTGTGCCCTTGATATACCGCAAGACCCTTTTAAGTAGAGCCCAGTGATCAGTAGTCGGTGAATGCATAAACTGACACAACCGGTTCACAGCATAGGACAGATCTGGCCGTGTAATGGTGAGATACTGTAGGGCCCCTACTAGACGACGATACTGTGTCGGATTATCATGCGGTTCCGCGGACGCTGTAACTGGTTGACTGATAGCAGCTGGTGTGGCCAAAGGCTTGCAGTCAGACATTCCAGCCCTAGTCAAGAGATCACCCATATATCGGCGCTGTGAGAGCATCAATCCAGTGTCAGTGTGTAGTGTCTCGATGCCAAGAAAGAAACTTGGAGTTCCAAGATCCCGAATTTTGAACACTGTGGACAAGCGGCTGAGCAGGCTATCAATTAGACTTGCATCATCCCCCATCATTATATGTCGTCGACATATACTAGTAAGAACACACGTGACACATCAATAGAGTAGTGGAAAAGGGAAACATCGGTCTTCGATGACGAAAACCCCGCAGAAATCAAGTAGTCATGAAATCTTTTGAACCAGGCCCGTGGTGCTTGTTTGAGGCCATAGAGAGAGCGCTGAGGTGACAGACATGGCCAGGATGCGAAGGATCTTCATACCCGGGCGGTTGCTTCATATATACGGTTTCAGCTAAGTGTTCGTTGAGGAAGGCGTTGTGAACATCTAGTTGACGCAGAGTCCAATTCCTGGAGACAGCTATAGAAAATAGCAATCGGACAGTTGTGGGTTTCACCACCGGGCTGAATGTATCAAAGAAATCTTCACCTGCTACCTGATTGAACCCTGTGGCGACCAGACGGGCTTTGTAGCGCTCAATTTTACCATCGGCGGTGCGTTTGGTTCGGAAAACCCACTTGCACCCAATCACATTCATGTGAGGCTCGGCCGGAACTAGCTTCCAGGTGTTGTTGTGTAGCAAAGCATTGAACTCTTGGTCCATGGCATCCCGCCACTCCGGATGGCCTACTGCCTGAGAATAACACGTCGGGTCGGTGGTGATAATCAAAGCTTGAAGTGGTTCACCAGTGCCACGAGTCATGTGTCGAAGACGCATACCATGATCCCGTTTTTGGGGACGACTCCGAGGCCGACCGTGTTTCCGAGCCACCCTGGCCCTTCTATAGCCAAGGGTGCCGGGTCTTGTGTGCTGGGTCCAGGGCCCACATCAGGCAGAGACAGAGGTGGGCTAGTTGCCAACGGTGTTGTTTGCACGTGTGGTATGATGGGTCCAGCGCCCCACGGAGTGGGTGGTGCATTGAACTGTTCTGTACCCTGCAAAGATGAGTCTGAAAAGGAAAATATGCCTCATCAAATCGGACATGGCGACAGATAAAGACTTTTCCCGTTGTTAGGTCCATGCACCTATATCCCCTAAAAGATGGGGGTAACCTAGGAAGACGCAGGGTGCCAACCGGAATTCTATCTTGTGCCGGTTATAAGGCCGGAGATAGGGGTAACATTGACACCCGAAGACCCGTAAAAAGGTGTATGGGGGTGCTGTTTTGTGGAGACGAGTGTATGGACTCTCAAACTGTAGTACAGACGAGGGTAAGAAGTTAATTAGACAGGTTGCTGTTTCGAAGGCATAGTCCTAGTATTCCAAGGGTACTGAACCTTCAGCAAGGAGAGCTAACCCTGTCTCAACAATATGTCGATTTCGGCGCTCAACCCTGCCATTCTGCTCGTGTGTGTAAGCACACGACTGTCTGTGCACAATACCGAGTGTTTGGAATGTTTTGTGCAATTTTTGGTACTCACCCCCTAGATCCGACTGTATACATTTGATAGAACGCGAAAACTGGCGTTCTACCATAACGCGAAAAGAATCAAAAATTTTATAGATGTCAGACTTTACCCGTAATGGGTAAAACCAGCAGAATCGGGAATGATCATCTACAAATAAGAGAAAATATCTATAACCAGAAACAGAAATAACGGGCGAGGGGCCCCAAATGTCCGTATACAAGAGATCTAAGACATTTTTACTACAGGATGCCACTCTATCTAATGGAAATCGCGTAGATTTGCCAAGATGACACGCTGTGCATGACCGGTTCCCTTTTGTTTTATTTGCAATGACAGGACATGATTTAGGATACGACTTTGGACTTGCGCGTGTGGATGGCCCAACCGACGATGCCACACCCCGGGAGTGGCCCAGGAGCTTATGAACGCAACATGATTGTGAGACACCGGGAGTTTATATAGACCACCCGAAGCAGGACCTTTAAGCAATATCGCCCTGGTGACGGAATCCTTCACAACAAAGCAATTTTTATGAAATTCGAAATATACATCATTTTCATTTGTAAAACGATGTACGGATAACAACGGAACTGACAAGTCAGGCACAATTAAAACATTGGATAGAGATAATTGTTTAGAGTGGGAAGGAACAAATAAAGATGCATGTCCAACTTTAGAAATTGTCAAACCTGTGCCATTAACAACTCTCAGGACATCGCCACCGGAGTACTCATCGGCCTGATTCACCATGTTCGGATCCGGAGTAGCGTGAGCAGTAGCACCCGTGTCCGGGAACCAGGACTGCGCTACCGGTGGTGCCGACGTCTCATCACCAGCAACCACGAGGTTGGCCTGCGCCGGAGGCTGGGTAGTGTACCGTTTGAAACAGTAGACGGCGGTGTGCCTGTGTGACCGGCAAATCTGACAACGCAGCGCACCATTCCGGCCACGACCAGCGTTGCCTCCGCGACCTTGGCCGTTTTTGCCTCGTCCATTGCCGCCGCGGGAGTTGCCAGAACTGCCTCCACTGGACTGCCCACGTCCAGCGCTCTTTTGGCAGAATACCCTCACCCATTCTTCTTCCTAAAATGAGCAACCTTTCACAAATAGAAAAGCGCGCGTTGATCTTGAAAGGTACAGATGAAGAAGAGGAAAATGACAAAATAGACGAAGAAATAAAACAAGAAATGGAAAAATTAGAACAAGAAATATAAGAAATAGAACAGCAACGAAAACTTGCGAATCATCTGAAAAAAAAAAAAAAGATAGACAAAAAAAACAGGGCGTATAGAGCAGCCAGAGAACCCGCACCAATGCCATCGACCGACGCCGGATAGTCATCTGCAAGAATGAATTCTTGTGCCTGCAAATAATCTGAAAGTTGCGGAATTTTTACCGGAGTGCCGGTGACTGTGAGCGACGCAGCAAGTGCCCGGAATTCCAGACGGAGAACCCTGAACACCCACATATTCTGTTCGTCCAGCGAGATGGGGCGTCCAGCCTGAGCCAGTGCTTCAACAAGCAGCTGCGCACGTCCGAGAAAATCTGCCGGTGTGAGGTTGCCTTGGCGGAGACTCTGGAATTATCCGAGAAGGCTCAGACAGCGGGCTCGAGAGGATGAGCCGAGGGCGGCCGTGATCGACAGCCATACGTCGCGCGAGGTGTGCCTTCCAACCGCTAAGTACATGACTTCGTCTGAGAGTGACAAAATTAGCAGCGATAAGATGCTTTGATCCTGCTGCACCCAGGCAGCGTGGGCGGGGTTGGCGGTGGAGACAGTGGTCGTCGTTCCAGAAGCAGAGTCGCCGGTGGGAACAACCTCGATCGTCGATGGTGGACAGGGCATATCGCCATCTACGTAGCCTAGGAGACCTTGGCCACGGAGGAACGGAACTAGTTGGGTGCGCCAAAACAAGAAGTTCCGGGAGGTTAGTTTTATGGAAACAAAATGGTGGGCTGAGGAGAGGGAATTTTGGGAGGTGGCCGGAGCAGCAACGGTGGCAGCGGTGACCGTGCGCTCGGAGGAATTCGTCGACATTGTTAATCGGAGAAGGAGTCGACGGGTAGAAGAGAAATTTTAGGAGAGGACCGATAGGCTTGCTGATACCAGATGAGATTAGGATAATCAACCCTGTTACAATCTAACTGAAAGAACAATACAAAAGAGAGATAGCTAATGTAAACTACTCCTGACTAATAGGCAAGTCACACAAGACTAAGCCACTACCACATAAACAATAAGTGTTACAATAATAATAACAAATACTAATAATAACATTACTAACAGAGAAGTTAAAAGTTAAAAGTTGAAAGTTGGAAGTGAAAAACTAAAAGTTGAAAGTTGAAAGAAAAAGCTAGAAGTTGAACTTTGAAAGTTAAAGTTTGAAAGCAAAGTTTTGTGATAGTTGTTAAAGTAAGAAGTATAAAAGCTTATACTTGTTTCTTGTTTGCATGCTTTACTTGTTGTAAGCCTTGCCTTAAGAAAAGAGAAGTTAGGTGTAGTTAACTCTTAGAGGTACTAACCAAGATGATCTGTTCTGATCATGTGAAAGGGCTAATGTAATGCCACCAAGAAGAGTCAGAGAAGAGACTCCTCGTTCCTCGGGACCTGGAGCTTCATCTTCCACAGACCTGACAGAGAGTTTGCGTCAGCTGACCCAGTAGACCCAGACTATCAGAGCCGCCGTACTGAATGGAAACAACGGTGGCGGTGATGTATCACGAAACATCATGGGGCGCAACCCGCCGAGTTACCTGGGCCAGGAAGACCCTGAGATATTAGAGAGCTGGATCCGTACTTTTGACAAATTGTTCGACGTGGTCAACTGTCCGGAAGATCAACGAGTGGAGACAACTGTGTACTATCTTCAGGAAGAGGCTGATCACTGGTGGGTGATGGAGGGCCCGACACTTAAGGAGAAAGAGGACTTTGATTGGGAGATGTTCAAGGTCACTTTGAGAGGAAGATTCAACCCCGAGCATGTCAAGGCTGTTAAGTATGAGGAATTCTTGCATTTCGAGCAAGGGAGCATGTCTGTGTAGGAGTATCATGCCCGCTTTGTGGCACTATCTCGATTTGCTCCTATCTTAGCACCGTATGAGGCTAGCAAAGCCTGCAAGTTTGTCCATGGATTGCACTATGATGCTCAGAAGCTATTTACTGCTGCAAAGTTTGCCACTTTGAATGAATCATATGACGCAGCTGCCGGACGCTCCAGGATTCAGCAACTACATAGGATTGCCCTGCACGGACCGAAAAAGATGAGCGAGGGGAACAACTCACAGTCAAGTAAGGTGCAAAGATTTAATCCAGTGGTGAGAAATGACAACCGAAATGGAGAAATGAGGAATCCGGTGGTAGGACAGGGAGTTGGAGCTAGAGGGTTATTTAGTGTGAGGAACGTGGCTTGCCCAAGGTGTGGTAAGGATCACCCTCGGACTACTTGTGGAGGAGGATCCGTTACATGTTTCAATTGCGGGAAGCCGGGGCATAGAGCCGCCGTTTGTTGGTATCCAAAGATGGAAAGATCCCACAGTACAACCCCGAGTCAGCAGCCTAGAGGCCAGTTCAACCAGGCACCAAACCGAGGAATGGGTCGTGGAAATTAGTCAGGTGGTGGCCTGCACCGAAATGGCAACCAGGGACGCGGGGGATCTCAGCAAGGATGATCGGGAGGAGCCGGATCGGGGAGAGTCATGGTGATGGGACAGACGCAAGCTGAGGGGCGCAATCTTGAGAAAGGTAACACTCTAAATTGGAATAAGTGTTAACATTGTTGTTTGGATTCTTGTTTTGTTGTGCGTGCTTGAAAGATTTGGTACAATTCGTGACTTGTTTAAGACTTGAGATTTAAGACGTTGTTAGAAGCATGTTTTTGAGAAATTCTCGGTAAAAAGTACCAAGAACAAGTAAGTGAATTTTAATAAGAATGAAGTAGATACAAGTAAAAGTGAAATCGTTAAAGAACGATTAAAGTTTAATTAGGAGAGTTAGTTTATGGAGGGTAGTGATTAAATCCTCAAAGTTAAAGTGGAAACAAGAAAAATTAAGAAATGTCAGGAAAGAATTAGACAAGAATTTAATTCGAGTTTAAGTTGGACCCAAACAATCCCGAAAAGAAATTAGAAAGTCAACGTTTGACTACGAGTTGGGATTTTACAAAGTCAAGGACCATTTTGATTTTGACTCTAATTGAGGAAGTGACAAAGTTGGAGGACTAGTTGGAATCTGTCTGTTGGTCATGACCCCTACCCTGCTGGTCGGGCTGCCGTCCTTCTGATTTCCCTGGTGCTCTCTGGCTAGGGCCAACTTCCTGCGATCGCTTAGCAGCATTCGCTTCTCCCGCGTTCGCATAATCGGCCACTCGGCGAATAGCCTCCTCGTATGTCAAAGGTGGGTGCAAGATAAAGTCCTGGTACAGGTGTCCTGCCTGGAGGGAGGAATGTACCATGTGTATTGCCGTCAGGTCGTCCATGGGCTCGACCTCTCCAATCGCGCTCTTCCACTTGAGCAAAAAATTTGAGAGGGATTTGCCCTCTAATTGCTTTGCATTCTCCAGATACATGAAGTGCTTCCGAATGGTCTTGGAAGTCACAAACTTTCGGACGAACTTGGTTTCTATATTGGCGAAGCAAGTGATCGAGCCTGGCTCTAATGATTTAAACCACTTGGCGACCCGACCGGTTAGTGTAGAATAGAAAGCGCGACACATGACTGCGTCTGTCACCCCCATCATCAGCATGTTCCCGTAATAAGAGTTGACGTGAACCTTCGGGTCCATCTTCCCATCATAATCCTTGCTTCCTGGGATGCGAAGGTCATGGAGATACGGCTGAGCCATGGTTTCGGTCGTGAACGGTGTCCGCAATAATGGTGTGGTAGTTTCCGCCGGAAAAGACATGTGCTCTTGTTGCCATCGGTTAAACTCCTGTCAGACCTGATCTAACAACCCCCGGGCATCCGTCTGTACATCCTCGTGTGCATTTCCCCGGGCCCTCTGGTGCCGTGGCGTTAGGGACACACCGGCCTCAGAGAAGTCCTCGCGGCTGACGGTCCGCATAGGTGAATCGACCGACCGCCGGCCATCATCCTGTGGTCCGAGCCGTTGACACATCGCCGACCTGAGCCTTCCAAAAGCACTCGTCCTTTGAGCTGGCTCCCGGGGCGGCTCAGGTTCCTCTTGTTCACCGGCTCCCTAGGACCCCAACCTTGAGCGAACCGGGCGACGAGCGTGCTGGCCGCGTGGGAGCTCCGACTTGGTCTGTGTTCTGCTGGACTTTAAACCGGGGAATGGAGCTGGCAACATAGGCATGGAGGGCGGTGGAGGGTACATCCCGGGATAAAGTGAATGCGGGTAGTAGCGGGGCGTGCCGGGCCAGAAACCATATGCTGGGTTAGGCGACACTAGTGGGTACCCCAGGTACTGGAACTGAGGTTGACCGGGTACCGGCGGGTTGTGGTGTTCCTGTTGAATGACATGCATTGTCTGAGGGGTGGCCGCTCGCCCCGGCGAAATGTTGAGGTCCACTCGTAAACCGCGATTCATCTGGCGATCAGAAGAGCTGACCTCAGCCTCGTCCTGATAATACTTGAACGGATACATGATGGAGGACCGCACTCATCGTACACGACTTCTAGTGTCAGCTTCCCACAGACGGCGCCAAAATGATAGTACTTATACACGTGGACTAGTAGCTAAATCGATCGCCCTAACTCAGCGTTCAAACAAGTGGTGGTCGGGAGCCTCAGAGTATGTGCTTGTCTTTGAATCAATCGAAAAGTCCCCCTGCCTTATTGCGGGTATTTATAGGCGAAATGGAGGGAAACAAGGCCCGGACTACCGGCATGGTGAGCACGTGGCAAATACGTGTCCACAGCTAAACACTAAGCCTCTGGCGATGCATGCCGTTGACACGTAGGGTCTTGTGGGGCCAGTGCGCATGAAGGTCTGGGCAAAAGAAGCACGATCGAGAGGATCATCGGTCGGGAAAGGTACGAGGCACGCAAACCGGTCGGGCCCGATCGGGTTAGGTAGGGAGTCGCTCAACGATTCGAGGCCGATCGGTCGTATAACCTATCAATTTCAATTGCCTTAAAGTAGAATAATAAAGATTTCACTTCAAACGTACCCACCAGGCAATTTGTACTCCCCTATATAGTACTATAGTAGGTACTCCCCCTATTTGCTAAAAGTAAAAAATAAAAATTCCAAAGGGGGATAAACCAACATGCATCAGAGAATTCTGGGGGTTTTATGCTGGTTTTGTTGGTCCAATAGAGTGTCTTGTTACTTCAGAGCAACCACAATAGTGATTTTTGCTAAGTTTTTTAAAAAGAAAAAATTAAAAATTGGTTTTTATCTAATAGGAAATGAGAGATTTTTGGCTAAATGGTTCTCCTACAAATATGATTTTTGGGGTAGGGTCCACTTTTGGAGGAAATGAGCAGCAATCTGCGTGCCCAGAAGATGCGTGCAATGCACGCGCCCAAGACGCATAATGCCTTTAGTTTTTGTTTTTCCTGTCAGAATTTATTGTTTCTTTTTTTTTTCATCTTCTCACTTTCATCTCTCTCGTACATGACTTGTAAAAAACCCACAAAAATCTACAACTATTGAGACTGCACAATAATATAATGTGGCCCAGAATCCCAGTGAGTAACATTTCATGATCGATGTTCCAACTGATTTGTCAATGTCTTGACTACATTCTTCAACTCAGTGATTTAAATAATCCTCAAGTTTGCAGGCAGTTGTTTGTCCCTTGGACCAATGACAGATTCTTCTTCATATCTGATGGAGTAGCAGTTGTTAGAGCATCCGCATCAGTTGGAGTTATTTGAGAGATAATGTAAGAGTGATTAGGAAAGAGAGTGTGGGATGGGAGAGAAAAAAAAAAGGAAATAAAATGGAAATAAAATTGAATTTTATAAATAAAAAATAAAAAAAATTAATGCGTCAGGCGCGCTGTCAGCACGCCTGACGCGTCCGTGTGGTTTGCGCACAGCATTTGCTGCTCTTTAATTTTTATTCTTTTCCTTTTCTGACATTAATTGGGTATTTGCAAGAGGAATATCTTTTAAAATAACTCCATCCCACATTTGCTATTAACCTCACTCAAATTAATAGATCTGACATTAATCCCTATTTCACCATTGATATGGATGCTCTTAGTAATTAACATCTAATCTGGGTGATCTAGCAGCCTTGGGTCTTTTCTCTAGTTGTTCAAAACTATATTTTCTAAAGCCTTGGATGTATAGAATAGTATAAATCAGGATTGAAAATAGTCCCAATACTATTTCACCCCAATAGTTGGTCAATTTAATTCCCACCCATTTCATTCTTTGATATATGACCTATTACAAGAGTTACTATGAACAATACCAAATTGATTACAAGATTTTTTTGATATATTAATATCACTTGTGTTGTCATATAAGAGCCATAGACTCATAGTAACATGTTCAACATTTGACACATCTAAAGTAACTGAGTACATCGGTTGCATTCTGTAATGTACTCTGCTTCCACTAGATAAGGAAATTGAGTTGTGCTTTTTTATTTAATCATAAAACAAGATTTTTTTCTATTTAAAATAAAAAAAATCTTCCTAAAGTATTATTTCGGTCATCTACATTGTCTGGCTAATCTGCATTATAATATCCAACCAGATTGTAGTTATTATCTTTGAAAATCATATTCCATACTTAATCGTACCTTTAATATACTTGATAATTCTTTTAATAGCAACCAAATGTGACTTTTTTGGGTTAGCTTGATGTCTTGCACACACACCAACACTATATGCGATGTTTGACCTATTAGTCGTCAAGTATAATAGACTTATTTTTTTGAGAAATAATAGACTTCTTATTATGCTTCTATTTAGTGTAGAATCCACTAATGTACCATTATCATCTCGAACAAATTTTATAGAAGTGAGAATCGGAGTCCTAGCATCTTTAGCACTTTTCCAACTTGAATTTCTTCACCAAGTTCTTTGCATTACCTCAACCAATTCTTCATTATGTTTCTTTAATCAATTATGCTATGTACATGTCCTTATTTAAATAAGTGTTTTGACATCTATTTGGAAGATTTTGAATCTCAAAATACATGTAATAAGGATTAATTTGATTGATTCTAGATGTGCTACAGCCTACAAGTGTAAAAGATGTGCAAGGTTACATGCTTTGTCAGTCTCTCTTATTTTTTATATACCCATTGTATCCCTATTATATCACTCTAGGTGGTCTAGGAACTAAATCCTACCCAATTCAACATCCTCCTTGCCTTATTATGGTTCGGGATTCCAACAAGGTGATTATTATAGATCCGCGTAGGAATATCTCTCTATGTCTAGTCTAGTCAGATTGTGTTATAGAAGCCCACACGACTTGGCTCAGTGGTTTAAGAATTAGGGATCGTTATATCGTGAACCAAGATCCACAATGCACTATGGACCCTGATTCTACACACATAATTTGACTTCATAATAATGTACAGAATTTATGTTCATAATACACATACACATACACATAAACATGATATAATAAACATGAATTATGTACATTATGAACATGAATTCTGTACATTATGAATATGAATTATGTGTATTATGTTACGTGTTTGTGTCTTCATTATATCGTGTTTATGTGTATGTGTATTATAAATATAAATTTTGTACATTATGAAGTCAAATTATGTGTATTGGACCAGGATCCACAATGCACAGTGATTTAGTAGGCAATTTGGGAGAAGCTTGTGTTGCAAAAGATTCTTCAATTGTCTGTCTAGTACTTTATGATGGACTAGTGTTTGTTTCAAGGAGATTCTCCCCATGGAATCCATAGCTGAAGCTTCACTCCTTGCCAGTCAGAAGTTGACTAGAGTTGGATAAAATTATAAGCAGCAACATTGAGAAAATCTGAGAATAACAGCACTTTAAGTATTAATCAAATACAAAAACTACAAGTATACACAAGCTATATGGCAGTAAGGAGAATAATACTTGAAAGCCAGGGCCGAGCTCCAAACTGATACACTAGAGTGGAGGCAAGTTTATGTATCAGAGAATGCATTCCACTTGATCAAGTTACGAGTATAGGCTCATGCTAAATTCGAGGGTTGTGATTCCAACAGATTCTCGTTAGGCCAAACCTTGCTAAATTCGAGGGTCGTGATTCCAACAGATTCTCGTTAGGCCAAACCTTAATAACAACCAATAGTTAAAGACAAAAATCTGGTTGCACCGTTTTAGTAGAGTGCACATATATAATACATTACCAATCTATTTCGAAGAACTTGATGTATAGCGCCATAAGATGCCTCCGATCAAGTTATTCAGAGCGTGAGCAGCCATTGGCACAATAATGCTTGATGTTGAAATTGTAGCATAGCCATAGGCAAGCCCCACAAATGTCGCCCTAAAAAGTTATCATAAGCTAATTCATTAGAATCCAGCTAATGAAGGAAAAAGATGAGAGGAAATGGATCATGAATGTACAATATACATGGAACATGCATTACATAGAATGATAATGCATTAGTTTAAGGGGGAATAAATAAACTAATGAAAGGCTCCAACTCAATAAATACCAGATTGCAAATGAATATTTTCGGCCGCTGCCCAAGTGCAATATTCCAAAGACTGCAGCAACGGCCAGAGCACTTGGCCATTTGGCACCAAAGAGAGGCAAAAGTGCACCACGGAAAAGAAACTCCTGTTGGATGCAAATACCCATTGAAGCTTGGAATCAGTTTTGAAATTCAATAAAGCACAACTGTGAAAGGTACGAACGAAAGTCCATTGTCTGTGCATACCTCACTAACTCCAGGAAGAAACGACACGACAATGTAATCCAAAGGTTCAAGAGAAGTAAGAACCTGAAGCATCATTTGCAAATTCAGAGAGAGGATAATGAAGTTGACTGAAAGCATGTAGGTTGTTAGAAATTAGTGTTACAAGTTTTTATGAGATAGAATTTAGTTGTTATTATAATAAGCCTATAAATACATGTTTTTCATTGTACGTTACTGATCAGAGCAATGATACTCCTACTTTTATATTAACTCTCCTTCTACTGCTCGGGTGGTATCATTAGCCACCTGTGGGACCCTATTTAAATTTTAACAAAGGTAAAGTCCCATTGCAAATTAGAAATTCTATGCAAGAAAAGCATGGAATGTAGAACAAAGGTTTGTTCTTTTAATTGGAACATCATTTAGGAATTCAGTGGTTCTGCGTACACTTAACAAGAACTTTACTGTCAATTATGGAGCTTGATGAAAAGATGAAACCATCCAAAAATATAAAGAAAATGATCTCAAACAACAATACCTGTCTATTTGCTGCTTCACTGGATTCAGCAAAATCTGGCCAAGTTTTCAACAGTAAATATCGGCATGAGGATACTATTATAACCAGCCCAGTAATCAACTCAAGATGCCACATCTGAAAATCCCCTGTATTGGAGTAAACTATCAGTGAAATCTATATAATGCAACATGAACTCCAATGAAATTCATTAACCAATAGTTGTAATTTGTAAATGGAAAAGCAAACGCAACTACACAGAGATAAAATGAAGATATCTCATGTTGCCAGAATGATATAATAGAATGTTACATTACAAACTACTTGTGCAAAGGATAAAGAGGACCCGATCTTACAAGAAATTTCAACAGAGCAGTCTGCAACTGGCAATCCTTCTGTTGATGCAAAATGAGAGGCCTGCAAATTAGCCAAGAAACTATAAATTTCAACTTAGGTTCCAGTTAAAATTATTGTAGAAATAGAGATGGTTTCTGGAAGTTACTGCCTTACTAATGAGAAGAGCATTAAAGTAATGGGATGATATCAGATATGAGTTGACTTTTTGGAATTGATATCATAAAAAAAATTGTTTTTAATTAAAATGACAAACAATATCAAGAAATGTCATCAAATTAAAGTAAATTACATCAGTTTCCTATGTTATATGAAAGAAAGATGGTATACATTAATATACACACATTCACATGCTTAAAAATGCACACAGGAAAAGAGTACAAGTAACAGGTGTGTGTTCAGATATATATATATATATATATATATATATATATATATATATATATATATATAAGGGTCAAATAAGCCCTTAAACTTTACTCAAAAAGTCAATTAGACCCTTAAACTTTCAAAAGTTGCAGTTAAACTCATAAACATGTTATTTTGGAACATTGAAGCCCAAAAATGACCAGTAATTGCAAGTTACTAAGGTTCCGGTGACCCTCCGACCAATTTTCAAAGAGACTCCGAGGACAAATACCAGCGACCGGTGACCGTCAAACGGTCGCGCGGTAGCGTTTGGAGAAGGCGACTAGGTCTCCAGCTACTAGAGAAGGCATACCAACTTGCCCCCGGAATCTCGCCAGAGGGTCGCCGAAACCCTAGTGACCTGCATTTACAGGTCACCAACCAGTTTTTGGGCTTCAATGCTCCAAAATAACATGTTTATGGGTTTAACTGCACATTTTGAAAAGTTATGAGCCTAATTGACTTTTCGAGTAATGTTTAGACACTTTTCCCTAATACAGTATATCCAATTATTAATAAAACGTTGAGAGTAAATTGCACCTGACGAATGAGAAAACCCAAAAGGCATATTAAACCAGAGGTAATAGTGCATGCTTGAAGCACAGAGGTCCTAGATGGGAGTGTTTGAGAATTCTCAACCTCCCCTACATCTGAAGTGGGTGTGCCATTTTTGTCTTGCAACTCATCCTCTATGTTACAATCATCCACCACAAGTTTCTCGGGTAATGTAGTGTTCTCTTTTATTTTTCTGCGTTTTATTCTTGATTTCTTGACTGGACTTGCGAAAGCTCTAATATCAGCTCTACTATATCTCTGGTCTCAACAACAGAGAAAGAAACATACAACAAATCACCAGAAATTACAATTAGGTTTTATTTCTCCGGCGAAATACACGCTATTGAACTATGAAATTGAGAACTCACACTGTGCAATAAACTGGGGATGAGCCCTGGTGAATAACAAGAGGCACAAAATTTGAAACCTGGTGGGAATTTCACCATTTTTGCACTGTTAAAGCTCGAAATAACCTCTGATTGAATTCCATAAAGATGAGCTTTTGTGTGAAATCGTAGAACAATGAATCTTGAAAGCTATTGGAAAGAGAAATCAGAATCTTACATGAAGCGCTAGAATCAGTGAGGAATGTAAAAGCAGAAGACTTCAACTTCCAGCAAGAATTCATAGTAACCAAATCCATCAATGAAATCAACGATAACGCAACCAAATAGCTTAATTGGGGAACTATTTGAAGGTATCCATCTCAGTTAAGAGTCGTTGGATATGGCCTTCAAATTCATTTAACAGCAGAAGTTATGTTGGTTCTTAACCACCACCGCACAAAAGTTAGGCTGCCAAGCACCATATTCACATTATACTAGGTTTTATTTTTTTTTTTTAATGCTACTAGCTCTATTAGATTGTAGTATCTGTTCATATACTTTCTCAACTTACTGAAACACAAAGAGCTAATAACGCCTCCATTGAGGCTTGAACTCACAACCTTCCTCATGGAAGTCCAACCCGGGTACATTATACTAGGTTAGTTTGTAGTGTACTAAAAATTTCATTCATTTTTTAATTTTACTTCTTGTCCATAAGTTATAATGGTAAGATTCGTCTTTATTTGTTGGTCATGTTCATTTTTAGTCTCTAATCTATAAATAACGTTACAATTTTTTTTAATTAAATATTAAGAACAAAATTTTTAATATTACTTATAACTTAGAGACGAAAAGTGAGCACGAACTATTTAAAATAAAAATGAGTTAATACCTAAAATGGTCCCTTGACTATGCCATAATTACCAATTTGGTCCTCAACTAACATTCTTACCCAATTAAGTCCTCAACTATGTAACTTTTACTCAATTAAGTCCTCAACTATATAATTCTTACCCAATTTAGTCCTTAACTATACAATTCTTACCTAATTTAGTCCTCTGTATTAATTTGACTGTTTGTTGACTGTCAAAAGTCGGGATAAAATTATAATTTTACAAGATTTCTCCTTCCTCTCCATTTAGCAGCGCCAAACCATGCATCAATACACTCCGATCAGATTTCGATCGTCAAAAAATCGTTGGAAATCAAATTCATGGGCTATCCGATGCACAACCACTACTTCGATACTGACAGGTTTAGAACCCAACCGGAGCTTATTGCTACATGGTTTAGCGCTGCTAAATGCGGAGGAAGGAGAAAACTTGTAAAATTACAACTTTATTTCCACTTTGACAGTCAACAAACAGTCAAATTGACAAAGGACTAAATTGGGTAAAAATTGTATAGTTGAGGACTTAATTGGGTAAGAATGATAGTCGAGGACCAAATTGGTAATTACGACATAGTCGAGGGACTATTTTGGGTATTAACTCAATAAAAATTCATTGTCAATTATAGTTTAAAAACAAGAAGTAAGCATAGCTAATAAGTAGAGACGAATTCTACAATTACCACATAATTTAGAGACGGAAAGTATAATTTTTCTAAAATTTATTTTAAGTCATTGTTAGTATACTATCTAAAAATAAATATATAATACATTGAAATGAGCATTACAATATAAATTATAGTTCACAATATTATTTGTTCCCTGGCTAGGGTAGCCTACCATGTTTTAGGCCAAATCTCTAAAAATTTTGAACAAGAAAGTGTTAGAGGATTGTCTATGAACACCTGAACTGAACTTCATATGAAAGAGATATGATTGCAATACCATTAGCATATTGCAGGACCATGTGTTTGGGTGTGTCGAAATCTATCCATCCACTTTTTTCACCATGATTTGTCTCGAATCTTTGAAACCTTTGAACATGAAAGTCTTAGAGGATTGTCTTTGATTTTCATGGAAACTTGAATCACCTCAATTGGATTTCATACGAGAGATATGACAAACATACTCTCAGCATGTTACAAATTGCATATTCTGTTATATTTGTGCATAAATTCCTAAAAAAAATATATATTAATGAATTGAGCATCATAGTCCATCAAACTAATGAGATACAAGAAAAATCATTATAAATATGATATTTAAAATAAGTGAAATTAAACACTTATCACACTTCCATACATTTTTTTCAGTTACTTTGTCATAGTTAATGAAATCTTTCAGCTCACCAGACTGTATGGAGAGTTTGTCATAGTTAATGAAATCTTTCAGCTCACCAGACTGTATGGAGAGTTTGATTTCTTGTTTCAATCTGTGGTATTGGTATATCTAAATAATGGGTGAGACGATTGGTCTGAAGATTTGAAACTGCTTTATACCAAAATCAAGGATCGAATCCTTAATGTTTGGTTAAGAATGAATTAATCTCTTCCACTCAATAACTCCAGAATTAATGTTTTCAAAATAATTAAGAGAAGCTAAGAAACTCCCGAATTAATGTTTTCAAAATAATTAAGAGAAGCTAAGAAAAGACAGGCAATAAAGTGAAAAGGACAATAATTATAACCGAGTTCTCTGGATTCCTAAAATGTGTTTGCATATATTATTTGTTAACGACCTCATTGTCCAATGAGGTAGACTTGAGACTGTATAAAAAAGAGGGTCTCAAGGTCAATCTCCATTCTCTGTAAATGTGTACTACAAGGAAGAAAAAAAAAACATATATACCATTTACATTTCAGGCACTTTGGACTGCTATGGAATAGTGTAAAAGAATGATAGGCTTGACAGGCACTCTATTGCTACAACTACAAAGTAAAAAATAATCATCAACGGAGAGTAGAGATCTAATGTTTTACTGGAAGATCAATCACCAGCACATCACAATATGGCGCCCAACAGCCAAATATGTAGCAACAAGGAATAAACAACGAGACCTATCCTTGCTTGTGGACGACTCATCAGTGCTCGGCTAGACGATACCCTGAATAAATTGGAAAAGAAGCCATTAGATTGATAATCCAGTTTCAATGTATATAAACCTCCTAGATGCGGGCAATTATGTGCTACCAAGTAAAGATTCCTACAAAATTAGTGTTTTTATGGGTTTAATGAGTGAAAAGGGAGATGCAAATTTATGTAGTTTTGATTGGTTAAATGAGAGCAATAACATGTGGCATTCATAATAATGGTTTCTGTAAAATCTGGGAAATAAATTGTCCTCTAATCTTGTGACAAAAGGTGAAATCGCCCACCCTATGCGCCCCACACCCCGGCCCGACAGTTTGTGGAGGGGTAAATCATGGTGACTCAACTGACCAACAAAGACTAGACTTTTGCTCACTGCGCACAAGGAGCCCCCTTCATTTTGAAAGGTTGCTCCCACACTGCCGCTAGTGAGACTCGATCCTCTAATCTAAGTCAACGGATTGCATTTCTGGCACTATTCTTAAGTGGAAAATGCATATAAGAAAGCAAGATAGTCACAAGAATTTACCAAATTCCATCAATCCGGTCAGCAAGCATTCTCCCTTGTCTTGGAACAAGACCAGTTGTAACAAGGGATTTGAACAAATGACCTGCAAGATATGAGGCGTATTGTAAGTTCACAAGCTTCAATTGTTGTTTTGTTAGGCACAAGTGTTAATCCTAAGAAAAAACACCTTTGTCTTCATTGGCTTCATCATCATTTAATAATCTCTCAGATCCAGAATCAATAGTAAGTGCAAGGTGGTCTGTAGAACCCTTTCTCAGAGTTCGAGCGTGAGCAGCTGAAGGGACAGAAGTAGATGCGCTATTATTACTGGTTGGGCCCTGCAGTAGTAATAAGGTAAGAACGTGATTCTTCAGTCAGTATTCATATACAAGTATCACACAGCTCATTTCTTAACAACTCCAATAGGAAATAGAAATGTGCCAGTAAATTAGAAAAAATCATTAGCAAATGGACATGTAAGCTGTTTACGATAACAATCTGAAGTCAACTAATGATTAATAAAACAGGAAGCAAATAATGTGTGCAACTCAAGTAATGAACCAAAAAACACAGCAAAAAGAGGTGTGCTGAGAAGAGTTTACAGTGAAAACAAATATGTATGGTAAATGTAATCAAGTTTACCATGTCTTGAATTTCAGAAATCTCAGACTCAGAAGGCAAGGAAGCCACTTCAAACACATCTCTTTTCTGGTTGATCTCCCCTGGGATAACCTCGACTTGATTAGAACCTTCAAGAGACTTAACCTTGCCGGATAACTCATCAACAACCTTTTGCATCTCCAGCAATTGTGCACCAAGTTTCTCTTTTTCGGATTTTAAATTTTCCGATTCAAATATTAAGGCCACGACCAGCTTTTCAAGTATTGGTAATAATCCTGAAACACCAGCTACTTTTTGAGCCCCAACCAAATTATTTCCTCCCAACTTCTGAATAACATTTTCCAAACCTCTTGTGAGTTCTAACAACTCATCCTTCATCTTTTTACAGTCTTTCTCATAAGTTTTGACTTTCTTCATTTCTTCATTCAGATGTTCAATTTCAAAGTTTTGCTTTCCAAGAGTTGACTGTAACTCTTTCTTGTCATGAGACAACAAGTCTAACTGGTTTTGCAATCCAGTAAAACTGTCAATCACATAAAAGAGTTTTCTCAAATCATCTGATTCATGAATCTCCTGATTCCCCACTTCAGCACCCCCTAATGGCATCTCAATCTTATTTACCTTTTCAAAGAGGGACTTCATTTGAGATGCTGACAGGAGATAGTCTTCAGCCTCTAAAAATTATATAAAATTTCAAGAAAACATAAGATAACATGATATTCAAAAGTAAACAACTTCAACATGGAAAACTAAAACAAACAGGAATTTACCCCGTGCTCTTGACGAAACCATACTTTTAAGAGCTGAAAGTTCTGCTTCTGTCTCCTTCAAGCGATCCTCTCTTGCCTGATGATCTTCTAATTTAAGCCTCAACTCGCTGCACAATTTTTGTGCATTGTCTAGATCATTTTCCAGCTGGGAGATCCTGTTCCTGTTTAACTCCCTTTCTTCCAAAGCTCCTTCACAAGCAATACTGGTTTCTTTCAATTTGTTCTGCAAGTCTTTGGTTGTTTCAACCATCTCATTATTTGCATCTTGAAACTGTTTCTTCAGATTTTGACAAAGTCTAGCAGCAACTAGCAGCTTTTCAGCAGCCTTTTCAAAGTTGCTGTGATCAAATACAGGAAGCCGTGCAGAATCATCATCACCAAAATTATCTGATATCATTGAGTCATCCAATTTTTCTAGATAAAAGTTCGAGCTCGCTTCCGAAAAATCATTCTGCAGCCCTAAATTCAGTTCTCGAGTTGCATCAATACAAGCAGAAAACAACACCTTAAGATTCCCTTCCATCATGTCAATTTTATTGTCCAGTGCTTGTCGATCTGTGTCCATATCTTCCGTCTTTTGCTTCAGAGATGTTATGAGCTTTTGAACAAGTGTGATCAAATCACCAATCAATGTAGAGTATCCTTCAAACCTTTCAGTGAGTATTTTGTTCCTATGATGGAATGCTTTCACAGTTTTTGAGATTTGGAATTTGATGCTCTCATCATCCAATGCATTCAGCTCACCATTAGCCATTTCTATATCTGGAACATCGTCAAGGCCAGTTAGCAAGGCTGTTGTCATTGAAGAATCATCCTACAAGGAGGGAAGAAAATTTATAAATGCACAGAAGTTCAACTCAGTCCATATAACACAGAACAGACATACACACATTTACAAACATTTTTAACACACTTGTACTTCATACAAGGAAGTCAAGTACTTTGCTAGAAGTAATAAGTCTGTTAGACATTATACATGGTAGGAATATATTCAACATGATATTAGGGATTACTGTACATATTCTTAGGGATTTAATTCTGATCCTCACCTTAGTATATATCTTCTTGTATAAATGTGTATTCTTGTGTCTGAAAGATATGAAAAACATATGGAGTTCTCCATTTGACAAAGTCAAACTGAAAATTTGAGATTGTTTCTGGTTTTAAATATACTATATGCAGCTGGTATAAAAGCAAATTAAATGTTGCACTAAACTGAACAATTTGATGAAGTTCCACATCTAGAGGTTGTTTACAGTTTACCAAGCAGAAAAATTACCTTTAAGAGAGAATGACCTTGCAACATTTTGAAATGCACTTCAGGAAACCAGTCTTCAATTTCTTTAAGATGAACATTGAATTCTTTAAGGCTCTCAAACTTTTTCTCAAAACTTCGCCATGCTACATAAAGTAAATTCTCATCTTTCAGAAGCAACTGAAGACTCTTGACATGACCTAACAATTCCAGATCTTTCGTCTCTATGCTCCCACGGGATCCAGCCAACTCTTGCAAGCAGTTACTCAATTTGACATTGAGCTCAGAAATCTCCTGTTCAGCATTTTTCTTTTCATTAACAAGATCAGAAACTTCGGTCTCTGCACTTAGCAATGCATCCTTTAGTGATTTTATAGTAATTGAGGCATCAGCAAGCTTGCTATTTTTTGATTCAACCTCCTCTTTGAGATTCCTTATCTCATTCTCCAAATGAGTAATACCAATTTGTGTCTTGCTGTTTTCCTCAGTAACAAGGGAAATGTTTTCTCTTGCCCGACCCAATGCATCTTCAAAGGAACGAATAGTGTCATTAGCCTCAGAAAGTTTACCTTTATCAACAGAATATTCTTCCTTTAGTTTCTGCAATTCCTTTTGAGTGGCGTCTCTACTAAGTAAAGCCTCTTCTTTCTCATTCTTGAGTACCAAGATGTTGTTCTCTGCCAATGATAATGCATCTTCAAGTGATTTTTGGCTTGCACAGACCTCAGCAAACTGACTTGTTTGAGTAGAAGCTTCACCTACTACTTTCTGTAATTCCTGTTCAAGTAAGATCCTTGCAGATTCTAGTTCATTTTTGTCTTTTTGAAGCTGAGATATACTGCTCTCTGTAATGGACAAGGCATCTATTGTTCTTTGTAATTCCTCTTCAACTAAGATCTTAGAGGACTCCTGTTCTTTCTTCTCTTCTTGAAGCTGAGAGATACTGATTTCTGCAACAGATAAGGAATCTTGCAATGATTTTATGGTTGTCTGGGCCTCGAATAGCTTGCTGAGTAAAGTATTGGCTTCATCTTTCACCGTTGCCAACTCTTGTTCTGCCTCTATCTTTGCCTTCTCGGATTCTCCAAAGCAGCCAACAAGAGATTTGACCTTCTCCATAGGCCCTTCAAAATCTGAAACAGCTGGAAGACCAATAGAATCTATTGTTTCCATCACTTTTTGTAGTATGCTATTGCTCTCAACTAAAAAGTGTTCTAGTTGATCCCTCTGGTCCTTGATAGAAACAAGATCAGCCTCTAGTTTAGGAAAGAGGTCCACATCAGCTGATAATTTATCAATCTGGTCTTTGCAGTCCCTGTAAATAGACAGTTGCTGCTGGAGTTCTGATCTTAGTCTCTCAATCTCAGCATTTTTATCATCCAATGTTCTTTTCAGGTTTTCCCGCTCTTGAACAATTCCCTTGCCCTTTTTAACTGCCATAGACAACTTTTCCTTAAGCAAGGCCACTTTCTCCTCATATTGTTCAAGATTCTTTTGCAAAGAATTCCTTTCTTCTTTCACTGCATTAAGTTCTTTAGTGGCCACCACCAACTCACTTGACATATGTTTCAATTCTGTTTTATTCAGCATCTCTTCAGCAAGAATTGGCTCATACATTTTCAACTCTAGATCCCTAGTATACAAAGCACTTTGGAGTTTTTGAAAAGATTCCAATTCAATATGAGAAGATCGAAAGGAATGACCCTCCTCTTTTATCTTAGCTAGGCATTTCTCAATGATTACAGATGTGTCAGACTGCTGATGGCAGACCAATTCTAGATCATCTAATTTGATCCCAGCTGCCACTAGCAGCATATTGACAAAACGATCCTTCTCAAGTGACATGTAATGCTCTTTCTGGACAATCTCTTCATAGTCATGTGTTAAATTGCCCAGTTCTTCCTGAAAATAGCTTTTTTCCTGTGTTTCCACTAAAAGTGATGTGGTTAAGCTTTCAATCACACTATTTGCAGCCTCTCTTGCTGCAGCTAACTCCTCCTGTAACTTCCCATGAAGATAGTTCTTTTCCTGTGTTTCCATCAAAAGGGAAGTCATTAACTGATCAATCTTGTTATTTGCAGCCTCTTTTGATGCAGCCATCTCCTCCTGTAACTTTCCAGTTTCTTCTTTAGCCAGATAAAGTGATTCCAGGAGCCAAGAAAGGCGAGCATCAATTGCGCTTGATTGCACAGTTTCTGGAAAATCAAATGATGATAAGGTCTCTGTAAATTTTTGAAATTCAAGGTATATGCCCTTTAATGAATTCCTCTCATCTGCAAGCCACCTGACATTTTCAGAGATATCTGTTAGCGGAAGCTGCTCTCCATAAGTCTCTGATAATATTTCTCCACATTTCTGAAGTATACTGTCCTTTTCAGAGAGGGCATCCTGCAGTGAAGTAGCTAACTCATTGCTTCTTACCAACAATTCCTTGGTTTGTTCTGCAGCCTCTAGAGCATTAGACTTTTCTTGCAATTCAACCAAGCATTTGTCTAGCTCACTTGTTTTCTCAGCCAGTGATTGTTTCAGTGCATCACGCTGCTGAACTAATGCTTTTCCTTTTGTCACAGCCAAGCTAAGCTTCTCTTTGGTGTTAGTATACCTTGTCTTCTCCTGTTCAGCTTCAACATTCAGCTTGACAATTTCTGAATTCGCATTCTCAAGCATTGCTTTGTGTTTATCAAGTTCTTCCATCAGATTTCTATTTTCATCACCTAAATGACTAAGGCTTTGGGACAAGTTTACTGCTGTTTTTAATTCAATCAGCTTTTCACGTGCAACAACAAATATTCCCATTTCATCCTGTACAGTAAGGTCTGGCACAACTTCAGCCAAACAACATCTAACTTGGTCAATTTGAGAAAGGAAGAACTTATGCTTCTCAACTAATATATCAATTTGTTTTTGGACATGAGACATTTTCCCCAAAACAGATTCATCTGGTAATTCTTCTTGATGGGCTAGCATTGCCAAAGAAGCTAAAATCCCGTTTGCAATTTCCCCAACTTTCTGCTCTGTCTCATGTTGGACTTCAGACATGCGTAAAGAATCCTCTTGTTCAGAATTCAAATGAGAAAGAGCAACATCCTTCAATACAGAGAACTCAGTAGCCTTTGTATTGAGAACCTCAATTTCATGATCCTTCATGTGTAAAAGTCTATCGAGTTCCCTTATCCTGGTCTCAGTATGAGAGCGTTCATACATAGCATCTTTAAGAAAATTGCAGCAATCAGATATCATCTCACGCAAAGATGCAGTGGATGCTAAATCTGAATTAGTTTGATGATCTTTAACCAATACGTTGTCATTTGTATTAACTGATGATTGATCCTCATTAAGGGACTTGAGTTGGTTACGAAGATGAGCCAGTTCTCTCACAAGTACAGCTCTTTCCTCCTGCATAGCAAGTAAAATATGATACTAATAAAATTGCATAGGAACTAAAGTAATTTATGAAACCTACTGCTCATAAAACTGACCTCATATTCTTGTGTGAAGTTATCTTCAGCAGCAATAGACGTCTGCAAGTCTTCTGTCTCGGCCTTCAAAGATTGTGTTTCCGTCTCATTACTTGGTTCTTTAAACTCTTCTGTCTCAGCCTTCAAAGATTGTGTTTCCGTCTCATTACTTGGTTCTTTAAACTCTTCTGTCTCAGCCTTCAAAGATTGTGTTTCCGTCTCATTACTTGGTTCTTTAAACTCAGTGTTGTGTACATAATATTTTTCAACCATTTTCTGTGGTGGGGTATCAGGAGTTATCTCATCTGGACAGTCCACAAACATATCTTCTCTTCCCGCATCTTCAGCCATTATTACATCACTTGTCTCACTTTCTTCAAAGCCGGATACACTCACCAACTCCCCATTACGTTTATTGGCATGAGAAAGCACTCAAGCACCTACACGCAGTTTGACCAAGAACTATTTTACACCCAACATTCATGAAACTCTGAAGCTATTCATTGAGACAATCAGAAGAACTACAAGTTATTAACACAGTAATATACACTTCATTTAAGACTGCATGCCATTTTTGGATGACGAGAGAAACCCGCAGCCACTACCAGAAGGTGTGTACTGGGTAAACCCCACCTTGTGACCGTAGCTGACAAAGGATGACAAGGAAGTAAACCAGCCTAAGTTGCCCATAGCTGACTGGCTCAAACCAAGAAGGTTGGGATTCGAACTCGTGGCCTTGTGGTTACAAGTTTGTATCCTTAGCCATCTTAGCTGGGGTTAACCCCCAGACTAAATGCCATTTTGAATGATCACTAAATGTGTAACCTACAACAACGTATGTATACAGATAACCAAACTGATGAGTAGTTTTGTATTCCAGATGTTGCAGTAGAACTGAACAGACGGGAAAAAATTTTAAGCCAAGCCATTCACAAGACTATTGGAATTGACACACATGAATATGCCAAGATGCACTATTTGTCCAGACGCAACTATCCCTTGCCCCAACATACAGTGTAAAAGTTCCAAATCATCTATGAAAACCCCACAGGAAACCACAGTTTGGTATAGTATTAAGGCAAAGGCTAGAAGTTTGAGAAGCAATATTGAAATACCAAAGTCAACACAAGCATAAATCAGGGGATCCACTGCAAAAGAACAAACAAATTCTATCCACGCAATTATGCATTGTTAGAAACGTTTAAAATCAAATAAACTTCAAAAGAGAATGATAAACGGTCTAGGCAAACTCCAATCATTCAAAACCTGATTAACATCTGTTGGTTCTACGAAAGCAGTGCCATTTTCATAAGCCTGTCGTGATTCAGGCATCTAGAACAATCATAACATAACCACAACAACACACTTAACAAAATATTCAATCTAGCACCGGCCCCAATGAAAATATATACATATTGTTTTCGAGAGCAGTTTAAGAAACACATATTTCAACCAAGCAGACAAGGAAATTAGCAGAACCCTAAAACAACAAGAAAATTACGAGAAAATCATAAATTTCAAACTCAATATACCTAGAAAATGAGATGTGTATTGGGTTTCTACAAATGGGATTGTCGAGATTTGGTCCAGGATGTCGAGACTTGAGGAAGAGTTGTGGATCTTGGATTTTGCGAAGCTACGAAACACTATGAGCTGCTGAGGCTTTTATATCTGAACGTTACTTTGCTGGCAAAATGACACTTCGGTGTACTACTTGTCCCTAGTTCATTGGTTCATCACACCACCAAAAATATACTACGTATTATTTTTGTTTTTACACCAAAATATAGTTTGATAGAATGGAGTATAGTGTGTGTTTTTTTCACTTTTTGCTTATTATTATACTAGTAATTCACCCGCGAGATGCACGGAAAAAAATTATGTTATTATAAATATAAATAAAAAATAGAAAAACTAAAATATTTTAAATTATTTAATATAATAATATTTTTGAGCTTCCATTGGTCAAGTATTTATTATTTTTATAGAATACAAAATTACAATTAAAATTAAAATTAATATTAAAATTATAATTTTGTATGGTTAATATAATCTCTAATTATGTGCATATTCAAAACTTATAGAGAGAATTTACATAATTACATTGATTTATTTTTAATTGTATTTCATCTATATTATAATTTTTACAGTACGAATAATAACTAAGATAATTACATTTGGAAAGTAAATTTTAAATTTTGTATGTGTAAATTTAAACTCTAATTGAACACATTTTTTATATGATTATATAATAAATAGCTATTTTATTTTTCAAAAATATATTTTTTATATGATTATATAATATATAGCTATTTTATTTTTTAAATGTTATGCTTTTTTTTATATATATAATAAAGGATGTTGTGGCATTAATTATAACATTAATTATTTTTCAAACCATATAGCTTTATTATATAAAGGATTTTTGAGTAAAAGACATTTTTGGTCATAGATTTATAGTGGCACGAATAATTTTAGTCCTCCATACAAAATTTGGATAATTTATTGACACGCTTATTGTGACGAGGATAATTTTGGACCTCCGTCTGTATTTCCGTGGCTGTTTGAAAAGAGGGTACTTGCATCATTTCATATTATCTCATTCACTTTATTCCATCTCTTCTATTTTGTTCTTCATTGTAGAGAGGAGGGTATTGTCACACACCCACTTTGCATCTTCTTCTTCTATCTTAGCACTTCTATACTAATAGTTACCACGAGAAACATTTAATTTAGTACCCACAGCTTGAGAGAAATAATCAAGTAAAGCCACAGAAAAATCAAGAAACCCACAATAGTTGCCACCAGAACCCACATCCAATAAAGCGACAGGATGGATGTTTTCATTATCATAATGAGTATATCCCAAATTTGGAGAATCAGGGAGCTCGGTTCATGGTACAATATATAGTGACGGTAGTGCATTGCGCATTTTGTTAAAGTCAAATTCTATCCCAAGTAGGAATAGATCAAACACTTGTGAATGTTGTTGTTGTGTCACATAGATGCTTCAAATTGAGACCTAACCTCCAAATATATGTTATAGTCAGACCTACTTGAGATAACAAGATTATTACATGATATCATTTAACCCTACGTTTAATGAATAATAAAACATTAAAGCTAAAATTTGTGTTGAACAATTCAACCTCCTCACAACTTTAGGTTGCTATGCCTAAACCAGCTACTGCAGTGCTGCACTTTCTCCTACCATTTTGACATGGATATCAAATGACCAATTACAAAGCACATCAAGCTTAAATACAACCCTTCTTTAGTATTATTTATGACTGCTCTCAATGAAATTTCATGCATATATCCAATGTGCTGGCTATATAAATCTGTTGGTTACACTTCTATATTAATAGTTGCCACCAGAAACATTTAATTTAGAACCCACAGCTTGAGAGAGTACAGAATCACAAAAATCTCAAAGCAAAGAATCTCATCCATTAAAGCCATAAAAAAATCAAGAATAATTTTTTACTTGGAAATTCTAAGGGGATATCTATCAAAGTCAATGTGTGATCATCCTCATCCCACCAATCACATAAATCCATAAACGTGATTGCTCAACTAAAAATCACAAAGCATATTGGGCACTTAATTCAGCCTAACATAACATAAAATGACAAAGCATCTCAAAAGATCAAATTTTGTTAAGATGTTGATGCCCGTTGGCTCGTTAGCTCCTAGCCGGTGGATTTGCAGGAACAATATAATATAAAATAGAGAATGTAGAGATATAAAAGTAGAGAGAAGATGAAGACTCCAACTCTCCAAGAATCAGCCATCTTATTATTGGGAATGAACTTTATATAATACAAAGGAATAACAGTTACAAAGCAATACACTAATGGCTAATCAATAGTATTAAAGAGTAATAATGTCCATTATTCAAATATTTTGTAACACTCCCCCTTGGACATTATTTAACCATATCCATGCCTCATTAAAAACTCACTAGAAAAATCCTGTGGGAAAATCTATGTGAGAAAAGAGTACACGACATATGGGTAATGCATGTGTCGCTTCGGTTGCCTCATTAAAAACCTTACACTGAGAAAACCCTATGGGAAAAAAACTCAGTAAGGGAAAAAGAGTACAACCGTAAACCTTATGGGTTTAGGTATAAATCATAATAATATATCTTGATCTTCTGGATCAAAGTGAATGAGTTAATCTTCTGGACTAATAATTTCATTATATTTAAGGTGTTGTTGCTCCCCCTGAAGACAACAGCCTTCCTAATCTACGCATACCAATTTTATATACATACTTTTCAAAAGTAGATGTAGGTAAGGACTTAGTGAATAAATCTGCCAGATTTTCACTTGATTGGATCTTTTGGACCCGTATTTCACCACTCTTCTGGAGTTCATGTGGATAAAAGAATTTTGGTGTAATATGTTTGGTGAGATTACCTTTAACATATCCATTACTCATTTGTGCAACACATGCTGCATTGTCCTCATACAGTACAGTGGGGATCTTTCCATTACTCATTATTCCACACGAGTCTTGAATATTGTGTATTAATGACCTCAACCATACACATTCTTTGGAGGTCTCGTATAAAGCAATAATCTCATAGTGGTTTGACGAGGTAGCTACTAATGTTTGTTTAACTGATTTCCATGATATAGCAGTACCTCCTGAAATGAACACATATCCAGTCTGAGATCTAGCATTATGCGGATCAGACATAAAACCAGCATCCGCATATCCCACTAATGTGGTGTCTTGGTCTCTCTTAAATAGAAGCCCAAGATCCTTTGTACCTTGTAAATATCTGAGGATATGTTTTATGCCATTCCAATGCCTTCTGGTTGGAGTAGCACTAAATCGAGCTAGCATGTTTACTGAAAATGCAATATCAGGTCTAGTGCAGTTGGCAAGATACAAAAGTGCTCCAATGGCACTTAAGTAAGGGACTTCTGGTCCTAGAATATCCTCATTATCTTCTTTAGGTCTGTACGGGTTCTTATCAACTTCAAGTGATCAGACTACCATTGGAGTACTAAGTGGATGAGATTTATCTATGTAAAATTTCTCCAATAACTTGTCTGTGTACTTGGATTGGTGTATGAATATCTCTCCAGGGAGGTGCTCGATCTGCAGGCCGAGACAGAACTTGGTTTTACCTAAGTCTTTCATTTCGAATTCCTCTTTTAAACACAAGTTTGCCCTCTTGACATCTTTGTGTGTCCCTATGATATTTATATCATCTACAAAGATGGATATAATACAGAGACCATCAATTGATTTCTTTGTAAAGATGAAAGGACTAATATCTTTATTTTCATATCATTGTTTCAAGAGGAATTCACTCAATCGACAATGCCACATTCTTCCTGATTGTTTTAAGTCATACAATGACTTTTGTAGTTTTACGGTGAACATATTTTTATTTGTTTTTTCCTTTACATAAAGGATTTTGGATGCCCTCGGGTACTTTCATATAATGTCAGCGTCTAGTGACCCATATAAATATGCAGTCACAACATCCATTAACTGCATTTCTAAATTCATTTTTACTGCTAGAGATATTAGATAACGGAACGATGTGCCATATAAGACAGGAGAGTAAGTTTGTTCAAATCTATTCCGGGTCTCTGTGAGAACCCTTGAGCTACCGGTCTTGCTTTGTATCTGACCACCTCATTTTGTTCATTCCTCTTTCGTACAAATACCCATTTGGATCCTACTGGGATCACGCCTTTAGGGGTAAGTACAGGAGGACTAAACACTTTTCTTTTATTTAGCGAGTTGAGCTCAGCCTCAATTGCTTCTTTCCATTTCAACCAATCGGAGTGCTTCCGGCACTCCACTATAGTTTTTGGTTCTGGATCCAGATTATTGAAAGAAATGTGTAGAGCAATTGTAGAGGCGAATTGGTCGTCGACGACTGTTACATTTCTATTAAGATTTTCTCCTGTTTCGAGAAAGTTTATGGCAGATTCTATATTCACTTCAACAAGTCTTTTTCATTTGCTATTATATCTTGGTGAAGGTGTTCCGTATTCCCAGTGTTAGATTTATTTGTAGCATGTGCATTTACACTGGGTTTTTCGTCTTTAGGACGATTTTGGAGTAACTGTGATTGTTTATTGTTTTTAGTTTTTCGCGGATTTACATCTATTGCACCAACTAGTCTTCCACGCTTCTGGCGTTGGATAGTGTCGGTGTTAGTATTTGGTCCTTTGGGGACAATTATTCCTGATGGAGCATTTTCTGCAAGAATATAGGACCTAGTTACTCCTTTATAATCAGTAAACGCATCTGGCAGATTATTTGCTAGTTTTTGCAAATTTATTATTTTCTGAACTTCAAGTTCAGTTTGATTAGTACGTGGGTCAAGATACTGAAGATCTTTTTCATCCCATGAAATTTCGTGACATTTTTTCAAAGCTAGGTTTTTCTCTCCCCTAATGTCGGGAAATGATCTTCATAAAAAATGCAGTTAGCAAACCGTGCAGTAAACTGATCTGCTATCATAGGCTCGAGGTATTTAATGATAGAAAGGGATTCATACCCAACATAAATACCTAACTGACGCTGCGGGCCCATGGAAGAACGATGCGGAGGTGGTATAGGTACGTAAACCGCACAGCCAAAGACACGCAAATGAGAAATGTCTGGCTCATTACCACGTACAAGTTGTAGAGGGGAATAATCGTGATTTGCAGTTGGCCGGAGTTATATTAGATTTGTAGCATGCAACACTGCGTGTCCACAACAATTGACTGGTAGGCTGGACCGTTAC